GTCAAAGCTTTCTCAAGTTCTGAAGTAGCTTGTACTTCGACAATGGACATTTCCGGTTTCTCGATAAGTTCAGGATTATTTTTAAAGTTGGATGACTGCAAGTTACCGAAGAAAGGTAAAGCTTCGTCATTTACAGCATATTACTTAGACAAAGACACCATTTGCTTGACCACCGTTATTCGAACGATGTGCTGACCTGTAATATCTGTTGTACATCATGGGTCTTTGGAGATAGGGTTGAATCGATTATTATTTCTCTCTTATAAATAATACTGTATTTCCATAAGTGTCCGTTTGTCGATGCATAAATAAAATTTGTTTTATTTTATCGTTTGGCCGTTATTGTAATATAAATCGATTAAAGATTCTAGATATATTCAAAATACAATTTTTACAGTTATCATTTAAATAGTTATTATAATTACATATATCAGCTTTATGTCAACATTATTATCTTGATTTCTTAAATAATTTTACTGTATTATAATATACATAATTAAACAAAAGATAAATGATGAATCTTTCCATAAATATTTAGCTTAGATTATTTTCATAATTATTTCTAATTTCACAAGGAAAAAACTATTTTGAAACATTAAATAGACGATTCAAAAACATTGTTTGGCAACGTTAAGAGTTATGAAAATATTTTAAAAATAATCGATTTAAATGGAACATTTTGCGTATATTAATACTTTCTGAATCGATTTTTAGATTTTATTGGATGTATAATTTAAGCCAGTTTTTTATCACTAGATATATGAACGGTAAAGATAACCAGATTAAATTCATCGGTGATTCATTCTTCTAATCTAATTATTCCATTTTATCTGTCATTTAATCGTTAAACGACCATTCGATTTTCTTCGGTTTGTTGCTGTCATTTTTAGCTTTTAACAATATTTTACTTTTAATTTTAATAAATTGAATTCCATTTTTTCGAAAACATCAAAGCCATTTCTACTTTTCATTTCTTATATATCGAAATCATTTCGAAAATATGAATTCGTTACAGCATAGGTAGACAACATTTTCCCACCTTAAGCTCTACGGTCCCCACTACTAATCAATTCGTTCTTCCACTATTTAACTGGATAACACTCTATGTTTTAGACGTTGAGATCTTCTCTTTACATCTCACTCTTGAATTGGATAAGGATAGATGAGATATAAGTATTATATCTGTGAGTGTAAGGAAAAAACGGCACATGTCAAGTTTTTACTTTTGAGATACATCTTGTCGTTTAAATGTTCCGATTCACTGATTCTTTTTATTTCCAATGTTTTCTTGTTTTCTTTTCAGTGTGTAAATAATCGATTATTCATAAAAAAAAAAAATAATAAAAACAGAATTCACGAGGCACGGCGGTATTAAAAAGTGAGGATCGTTTTCTTCTACTTCATCGGAGAAGTAGAAATGCGGTCTGCCAGATGCACACTTATGCGTTACAGTTTAAATTCTACATTCTCATATAAATAATTAGAAATAAAATTGTATAGTTATAAGCTGATGCATTTCACCGACTATTATCGAACGACATTGGATCTGAAAAAGAATAATCAAATAATTAATTATTCGTTGTGAAATAAAATCCTAACTATAAAAATAACATACTATAAACTCGATGAAAAACTTGCACTTGTTAATATAGCAAAAAATAATAACAATTGATATTTCATGTTTTCATTTCTTGCGTATTTCTCACTTTATTTTTTTTTTCTTTTCAAATTTATGTGCATCGAGATGTAAAACTTGTGCGTTAATACTGCGATTTTCTGCGAAAGAAGTTTTTTTATTTTATATACCACGTAATGTGTGTATGAAATAAGATCACACTTTATTTCTTTTTCCTAATAGTTACATTAATGATAATCAAAAATTGGAGGAGATACACGGAACAAATATTGTTACTGATATCGTTTTATATTTCAAGACGTTTTTCTTTGTTATTCATTATCCTATAAGGATTAATAATTTTTTAACAATAAAATCGAAGAAATAATTGAAATATTTTTATACAAAATAAATTAAAACGATTTTAAGATCATTTATATATTTTTAACATGTATGTTTTATTCTATAATTTATATTTTGTATTAGATTTTCATTATAATTATTTATTATTAAAATGTAACATTATGATCAGTGTATCTCATAATCATGTAAATTTATTGCATATACATATTTTATATATTTCATGTAAATGAAATAAATTGTATATTTTGTGTATGTTAAAGATATATTTTACTGATAATTATGAACAATAATAAGTATGATTATTATTATAAATTAGCGATTATTTCAAATCCGGATATTAGTTGTCGTTTGGTGTAAGAGAAATTATAAAAATTGAGTTGGAACTTTTTCTCAATAAATCAATTTTAACTGTATTGTTAAATATTTTGTTGTTTTATTTGAAAATAATATTCTGTGTAACAAAATTTACATATTGGACAAATTACATTAAAAATTTATAGCTGCATTCTTGTTTATAAATTATGTACATAAATGTTCACAGCTTATTTACCATATCTACCATGATGTCCACCATAATGTCCATTTTCGTGCCCATGGTGATGCCCATGATAATGTCCATGATGATAACCATCGTGATGTCTACTGTCATGGTGATGTCCATGTCCATAAGTAGTTTGAGAATCAGCAGCTCTATTCAATCTTACTAACATGACGTCTAAAACAATTCAATATCAACATAAATTATTCTATAGAGGAAAATAATATTTTGATTAATACATTCAAATTCCTTGCTTCACATATCAAGATAGCAATGAAAATAAAGTTATAAATGTTATAAATAAAGAGTTTCAAATGATATTATTTTTTTTACATTAAATTATTTTCTAAACAAAGTCTTAAGCTAAGCCTATACTTAGGAAAGGATCTACCTTCCTTTGGTTTCGTTAAGATCCCAGGAAAAGTCAAAGTTGTTGCTATGCATAGAATCAAAATGAATCCTAATATCTTCAACATTTTAACTATCTATTGTTCCACAAGTTCTAATAACTATGAAAAATTATGAACTGAGTATTTATATCGTTCCAACGTGTTCTTTGAGAACGTCAAAGGTGAAATGATGTACGAAATCATCTTTTACAGCTTTATATATGTTCTGTTAGAGGTCAGTTTGACAAGATAGTCATAAAATGTCGCGGGATGCATCAAGTTGACAAAAAGAGAACTGCATTTTTATTAACATACCTACCAAACGAGTATCTATCAATTCTTTGAATTTTACAATTCTTATTAGCATCAACGAATATATTCCGATCGTATTAATTATTCTCTTTTTCGTCTTTCTCTTGTTTTTCTTTTTTAATTTATTGTTTTCATTTGGAGATTTTTCTGCTAAATCAAATGTCATTTGTATCATATTAAATAATCAAGAAATGTCATTTCGTTAGATTGATTATTGGTAAATCGAATAATTCGATCGAATAAAAATCAGAGATGATCCATCAGTTTGTAAATTTATTGTTCAAATTTCGTTTGTGATATGTAAACAAAAAAAATATTGAAGAACGTATGATTGAAGGTGACGCCTGTATAAAATAGACAAAAATGTATATTTCGAAAATGTATCTGGTGTAAGGAAATGTCTTCCCTTGTTTATCATTGGGATATCTTACATACTCAGATCGGTGGAGATCTGTTAAAGAAGATTCTTCGCAAAATTGACCTTGACGTTGAAAGGGAATCCAGCTGGCAGCGGACGAAACTCACATCTCCTTTCTTTCCTTCGTCTCCTTTCCTTCGCTGTCTTCTCTAACAGGTCTCGCACTATCATACTAACGCGTTAAGTAAACAGTCTAATAATAACTGATTCCTCACTCTGTATTTGCCTTTGAAATGTAAAAATATTGTAAATAATGTGAATATAAGAGATAATGGAGTTTTATGATCTTTTTTGAAGATAACTATTGAATTAAAATGCAAGGTTCCATTGATATGTCGAGAACATAAAAAGATATGGACAATTCTGCGACTGGTTTTTTTTTTATAGAACTCCACCGATCCAAAGATTTACAAGGTGATTCATCTAAGGTATACATTCTGTATAAGGAGTTGGTTCATATAAAGTGTTATAAACTGTTTTCTCGCTACTGTATTTATGTTCATACATTTTTTTTTTATCATAAATTGTTTGAACTATCTAGATTTTAAATTACAATTGTAGATTTTCAAAATGGTATTTTTTTGGATATTATTATTAATATTTTATTCTTAAAATATCGTATAATGTCTAATGTATAAAGAGTGATTTAAACATAATGATAATCAGAACATTTTTCTACCGGGGTCCAGAATCTATTGGCAGAATTTCAAATATGTAGTTTAATATAATAAGAAAAATTTTATACGAGGAGGACGTTTCGCTAATAAAAAAAAATAAATAATTTATGCTTCGACACATATAAGAACACTTCGTATGCCACAGGTTGTACTTGGAAAGAATTAATTTTATATATAAAGGAAAACGGAATAAAGTTTTTCTGTGGAAAAAAAAAATGAAATAATGAAATTCGGTTTAACAAGATTTATTCGACGAAATATTTTTTCTTATTCTATTTCTAAGATATACACGCATTAAAATTCGTTTGCTTAGATTAACAATTACAGACGATTATTACATTACATGCGAGTGAATATCACGTGTTTTGCCGAATTCCAAATGCAACTTGTCGTGAGTCTGGGTAGTCAGTAGAACGAATTATTTCATTAACTTCTGCTACCCAAGTTCGGTGGATGCTGCAATGGTCGGTACGTTTCAAACGTAACATTGTATTTTTTTATTGTATAGTATGAACAACATTTTTTTTTTAGCTAAGCGAAAGGTTATACAATTTGATCATTTGGGACAGATCTCATTATTAGTTTTCCTTGACAAGAATGTAAAAAAGATTATAGATATCATGTACGATATTTTCCTTTCGAGTTTAAAAAACCAATAGCAATGAGATATTATGAAATTAAATTATGTTGCCATTTTTCTTTCGTAAACATTAAAATTAAGTCTCGAGGATAACGATCTTTTTTGTGCTGGGTTGATCCACCTTCTTGAAACATTTATGATTTATTCCTCCGCGGGTGATGTACGTCGTTTTTTACTGAAAACAGAAAAACAATAATCGTTCAGTTATTACATTTCTTTCAATTACTATCAATCTTAAAAAGAGTATTTTATAATATTTAACTATTATTGCTAAGTCTTACTAATATACAATTATCTGAAAAATTATTTTTTTTTTAATTTATAAATGTTTATTATTATTATTACTATTATTATTATCATTATTATTATTATTTTTCATTATCTTAGGATGCTCACCCATTTGGTGATCCGCCATATGCCGTTGCTACAGAACTAGCAACACCACCTTTACCGGTGGAGTAACTATTAGCAATAGCGGTTACCGCTCCAGGTGGGGAACCAGAGGATCCAGCACGAGTGGATGCACCAGGGAAACTAAAGACCATTGGGAAAAAATTGTTCAGGTGTGGATAGCCTTGACGACGACGATTACCCTTGAAAGGTACGAAAGGTACAACAGGATCCTCGTCTTCGTCATCTACGTCATCCTCATCTTCATCATCTTCCACCTGAACTGGGACCTTCTTTTTTTTTCCAAGACTAGCCTTTGGTCGATTATTCACCGTTGCTTCGGTAGAAGGTGCTATTGATTCGTCTGCTGATACAGGTGTCTCAATTTCTGGTTTCGAAACGTTTACTTCCTGTTCCAAGCATTCGTATCATGTTAATTATTAAGATGTGCTAGGAGAAGTATGTTGATAATCAAAATTTAATTAATTTCAATTAATTATAATTAATTATGAATTTTTAAAAGGATTTTTAAATTAAACCTACTAAAATTTATTTCTACCTGTTCGTTAGCTTGAAGACCATGTTCCTCTTGATCATGATGTTGATCCTCTGGTACATATCGATCCTCGTTTTGTACCGGTATCTCTTGATCATTTTCAGGCAAAGCTTCCTCAGGTTCTGGAGCGGCTTGTGCCTCGGCACTGGACACTTCCGGTTCCTCGATAGGTTCAGGACCATTTTTAAAGTTGGGCGATTGCAAACCACCAAAGAAAGCTTCTCCACTGACCGCATTTCCTTGGGCAAAGACACCACTTGCTTGGCCACCGTTATTGGAACGACGTACTGGCCTATAATATCCGGTGAACATCATGGCTCTTTGGGGATAGGGTTGGATTGGTGTCCTTTTCTCTCTTACAAATAATACTGGGTTTCCAAAGGCGTCCATCATAAGTGAAACTGAAAGGATAAACCTCTCTCTTTGAATCATGTTATTTCATCTGAAACTATATTATGTCTGAAATGAACCGTTCGTGATCATTTACATCTAGAAAGCACGTACGATTTGAATCAAGCTACGCATACGGATTACTATATTTGCCTGGATGCGTGAGTATGTATGTGGCCCATATTTGAATTCCTGTTAATATTATCATTGGTAACTCAGTCCGTTACCTCTTATTGAATAGTACATGCGTTTATTTTAATTCTATATGGACAACTACTAATCCCAATAAAGCAATGGATAAGTCTGGAAGACTTGAATGAGATTTTAAATATTTTAATCTTTAATAATCAAGTGATTTGAATTAAATTTTTGAAACTATTTCTAATATTAGGTTGTAAAAGAATCAATTACAATTTTTATTAATCATGCATTTAGATGATCGAAACCCAAGATATCTGGACTCACCAGGTTCAGCTGGTATAGCTCGAGACTCCACTAGAACCACCGTTATCGATGCAAACAAGATGCAAAGAAGTATCGTCGAGGAGGTAGTCATTTTGGACGATGAATTCCAAATTCTTGATTAGAATATGAGGTATAAGTAGATAACGTATTATGGCAACACTCTATGTATCTTCACTCGTTATCGAAGCACTAGCACCTATTCTAGTTGGTGTACCTGGTGCAGGAACCTTTTGCACGATGATGGCATTGTTAGCCGTTGCCGTACGCTTTTATACCATGCCCGTGGAATCATTGTCCATGTGTGACGAACGGGACGGTCATATGGGATGGGTTGTCTATGTAGATACGGGGATGGTATCTTCTCTTAAGACTCCCCACCCCAGCCCTCTTCACCACCATTTTACTTACCATCCGTCGTTATTCGTCAGATGCTCCTGGTGTCCAGCCAACGCAGAGAGGAGAATCGCTGTAACGCACATCGTTCCTCGACGGTAATACGTGATCGTCCTTCGAGATGAGACGGCAGCTTAATCTGATGCATTAATTGGGATCCCCACCGATCGCAATCTGGTTTCGGGAGATCGTGCACCGATCGCGAATGACTGCCCTGTTCGATATAGGAGTCCCGTTTTCTCGTCTGCCAAAACTGTTTTACCCTTTCCTGTCAAGTGTGATCTTCTTTTCATTTTCTCTCTCTTTCTCTCTCTTGCTCTCTCTCTCTCTCTCTCTCTCTCTCTCTCTCTCTCTCTCTCTCTTTCTCTCTCTCTCTCTCTCTCTCTCTCTCTCTCTCTCTCTCTTCTATTTATTGTTTCACAAGTTTTATTTTTTTTTTCCTTTTTTTATTTATTTGAGAAGTTACGAGCATTCGTATAAGCATAAATGAGATTTGTTCGTTCTTTTTTCTTTTTAATGGTTTTGCTTCATCGTAATGAAGATCGATATAAAACTCTGGATATGTAAAAAATGCAATTTTTTGAGATTGATCATTTAACTCGTTATTATAATTATTGACACGTGCGACACATATCAGCTCTTAGTAGAAATTATTGATGTAATTCCTTCAATAACTCCATGGTATTATGAGCAAGATAAATTAAACGCAAGATAATTGGTAAATCGAATCTTTCTCTGAATATTTAACTCACATCGTTTTTATTATTATTTCTAACTGTGCGCAGAGATGGAAGAAACTTTGTCTTGAAACCTTCAATAAACGAATTGAATTATATTCTTTTTTATCAATAATGAAACAACGAATATATTGTAAAGATGATCGAGTTAATCGGGACATCCAATCTATATATTAATAATTTTTGAATCGATTAAAAATAAGAAAAAAAAAATAAAAAAAGAATACAACCATATTTTTTTTTCTTTTTTTATCTTTTTTTCTCTTTTTTAGATTCTCAAAAGAAGAAACATGGTGAAGCTTTCTAATGAATTCAATCGAGGAACGGATCGAATGTGAATGGTTTATACTTCTTTTCACTTTTCCTTCAATCCCTTCGCGAGGGTGCGAGATGTTGACTCATGGATCGAGTCAAGATAAAAGGATCTAAAGACGGGCGACGAATAGAGGAGAACGAAAGGTTCATACATTTTCAATTGTTCTATAAATATACAGAATCCAAGAAACGAACCAATCCTATACCTTTCTTCTCCCTTTTGTCTTTTTTCTTTTCTTTTTCTTTTTTTTTTTTTTTTTCGTTGACGTATTCGCAGTTTCGCGAGAAATTACGTTTTCGGAATTTTTATCTTTATTAATTCTTCTCCCCTTTCTGAAAGAAAAGAAAAAAAAAAGAAAAGGAAAATATTTCCAAAATGCTTCAAAAATACTTCAATACATTTTTCTTTTCAAATCCAAATTTATATATCTTATATTCAATTTATAGAATCGTATATGAAAAAAATAGATTTTAAAATCTCGATATAATCAAGTATAATTAATGCGTTAGTTATTCCGAAATGTTTTCTATTTTAATTTTCATACAAAAATATTTATTTTGTAATATTGCAAAAAGATGAGAAATTAAAAATATATTTATTCGTTTTGTTATAATATTCTTCTATTTTTATATAATTTAAGAAAAAAAAAACAGTGGAAAAATATTTTAACATTTTTTTTTAAATCGGTATTTATATATCTTGAATTAGATCTATATAATCGTAGATGAGAATAATAGATTTCAATCAGAATAATAAATTTCAATATAATCAAGTATAATTAATTTGTTAGTGACTTCGAGATGATTTTTTTTTAATTTTCGTACAAAAGTATTTGTAACATTGCAAAAATATGACAAATTAAAAATAAATATTTGTATACGTTCTATTATAATATTTGCCTATTCTTATGTAATACTAATTTAGGGTGTAAAGTTGTTAATGTTAAAAAAAAAAACAAAAGACGATTATCTTCAACAAGAAAAATATTTTTTAATAAATCAAAAAATGTTTTATCCTTGCAGTCACAGTCTTTTCCTTTACATTGTAATCTTTTTAGTTGTTAGTCGTTAATGTTAAATAATAAAAAATAAACAATTATTGTTAGTATGAAAAATATCTTTTAATAAATAAAATGAAGCTTGATCCTCGGAATCATAGATCCTTTTTTACATTGTAGTATTTCTTTTCTTTGTTTTTATCGAGAACATGAACATTTAGATATTATTCATCAGGAAAGAAAAGGAAAAAAAGAAAGGAAAAGAAGGAAAAACAAAATGGAGAGAAATGACGTAGGGTTAGAAAGGGATGAGCAATTGTAGTTTTTCCTCGATAAAGTCGTAGCTGAAGAAGGGAAGAACGGAGAAGAAGGGACACTGACACGTCAAGGCGGATCTGCCTGAGTCCGTTTAGGATTCAGGACACGATGTCCACGGCCACCGCCATTGGACTCTTACGGACTTTTGATCGTCCTCAAGAATTATCGTCGCCTCTGACCAGTCATACTCCAGACGTTTGAGCGAGTATGACTGACATAATATTAATATTAAGAGGTCTCGGATCTCCGTAGGAAGTTACGTCAAACAAACGTCATTATTCCTACCCTATAAGTGACGATAGTTTCGTATAAAGAAATCAGGCCGATTTGGTCCTTCAATTTTTTCTATTAAAATATAATATAATATATAATATTGTATGTGTGTGTATGTATATGTATATTATATATGTATAATATACATATATATACATATATATATATGTATAATATACATATATATATATATATATATATATATATGTGTGTGTGTGTATATATAGTGCAAATCATAAAACTCGATGTAAGTTACATTAATCACTGATGATTCTATAATTTGTTATACAAATGATCTTAAATAAATTTATTAAACTCTAATTCTTCTTCTAAATTAATTTTACAAAAAAGGAAGGAACAAAAAAATATATATAATATATTATATTATATTATTATATATTACATATATTATATATTATATATATACATATAGGACAAACTGTAAAACTCAATATAAGCTATAATAATTGCTAATGATACCATAATTCGTTATACAAATGTTCATAAATAAATTTATTAATTTCTAATCGTTTTTGTAAATTAATTTTATAAAATAGGAAGAAAAAACTCTGTAATAGTCTTTTTATTTTATTTATTTTCATTTTTGTTTTTTGAGTCACTATTGGTCGACATTTTTTGTTGCAACAAGATTTTCACAAAACTTTTACATAAAATTATTTGATTTTTCTTTCTAATCTTTTTCTTTGTTATTAATACTATAATATCAGTATGAGTACAATGATAAATAATTTGTATAATTCTTTTTTGAAATTCTACGTAGGTTTTGCTCGATTTGCTGTACATTTGTGTAAAACTCGCTCCGATTTATGTACGTGGGGGTCATCGTACTCAGCGAATTTTGGGTTGCGTCGTATAGGAAGATCTTTTTTTTTTTCAAGTTTCAAGACCGACCACGCGCACCCATCATGATCGGAATATTAATTGATGAGTAGAACAGTAGACCGAAGTGAGCTCGATCTCATTTGTATCAACAAAGAACGTAAAAGGAAGGTAGAAAAGTGTGTCAAATTCGTTTTGACTTATAAATTAATTATATTATAAATAAATTTTTTTTTGAATTTTTAATGTTATGTTTTTATCACGCAAAATACTTTTATTTTATATTTATTTTAATACTTGTTAACGTTAGAAAAAAAAAGAAAAATATTCTTTTTTCTTGCATTTTTTTCGTTCCATTTGATTCTAAAATTTCGTTCAGTCATTTTTTATTGTTAATTCTAAAGATCTATTTTATTCTTTATCCGATGGATTGTAAATTCACAGTAAATCGATAATTATATCGTTAAGAATAAATGTAAGATGAACCGGAAACAAGGCTTCTCGATGGACTCTTAAATTCGATCAACGATCGATTCGTATCGCTGATCTTATTTGCAATCGCTCGTAAACAACATCTGTTAGCTCGAGCAGGCAGCTTCGATGCTGCTCTTATGTTAATCGTTGATGCAACTTCCATAATAATGAAATCTCCTATCGATCTATTCTGAAATCTTCCTTTTCTTCGATTTCATTTGCTATTCCGAGATTTGAATTTTATTTTTTTTTCTTATACTAAACTTGATTATTATTATGATTTATTATAAATTAATAATATTTATCAGAAAGTTGATCGATCAACAGATTTTGAGATATTTTTATTTTTATTCCAAAAATGATTGGAAAGACAATATACATAAATAAATTATAATTTATACGTTATATTAATTATTATTATTATTATTATTATTAATATAACGTATTAATTATATATGAATTATATATTAATATATAAATAACATATTTAGTGTAACACAATTAATGTGTCATATACTATTGTATATTAACATATAAATTATCATATTAATATATAATATAAATAGTTAGTAAGAATTTTGTTAATTAAGAATAGATCGTTGTTAAAAGATCTATTTTATGAAATGAATATTGTTATTTTTCGACTAATTAAATAAATCCAATTAAGAGCACGTCCATTTTCGAGTTAATATGACGGTACAGAAAACAAAATACGGCGAGGTGCAGATCTACGATATGAATATGCAATCCATTGGGATCGATATCCTGCATTGACGAAGAAAGTAAGCCGCAATGGCAGGAAGTATCAAAATATTAAAATCAATCTTTTTTTTGATCGGATAACGGTTATTATTATTAAAATAATGATGACGTA